TATTATTATTCTTACTACTACTATTATTGCTATTATTATTATTATTATTACTACTACTACTATTATAGCTATTATTATTTATTACTATTATTGCTATTAATGCTATTATTATTATTATTATTATTACTATTATTGCTATTATTAAAATTACTGTTATTATTATTATTATTATTTATTTATTACTATTATTGCTATTATTATTATTTTTTTTTTATTACTATTATTGCTATTATTATTATTTATGTTATTATTATTATTATTACTATTATTGCTATTATTATTATTACTGTTATTATTATTATTATTACAATTATTGCTATTATTATTATTACTGTTATTATTATTATTATTACAATTATTGCTATTATTATTATTACTGTTATTATTATTATTATTACAATTATTGCTATTATTATTATTACTGTTATTATTATTATTATTATTATTACTATTATTGCTATTATTATTATTATTGTTACTAAGGCCACACGATATTGGAAAAATATGACATTTATATTTTAATAAAATATTTTATTATTTTGCTATTTATATTACGATATGAACACAACTTTACCAAATGTTTTGGATATCTCTATTTGGAAAGAATTTATAACGCTAGATTGATTTCTGATGATTCTGCAGTGAGAGTGCATCTCCATAAAATCTAATAAACAAATCTGCAAGCACAGAGCAATACAATAAAGAAAAGGATCATTTGTCCTAATAGTTACATCTGTACAATTTATTATTTTGAAAACATTATACAGTCACAGGCCTCAAAAACAAATTCAAATGATAAATTATAATACCAACTCAACATCGCATATCCTGTTGCAAATGATCACATTGCAATATCGATGCTGAAAGGATATATTGTGCAGCCCTACTTGTTACCATATTTGATAGAGCATTGACATAATCTGAGATTTTGCGATTTGAAAATCAAATCAAATCGAGATTTTGATTTAAAAATAATATTATTTGTGCAGTCAAACCACACCAGAAAATCATCTGAAAATAGACAGAGACCTCTAAAAAAGTCATTTGGTGTGCAAAGGGTGCTGATGGCAGTGCTTATTTATTCAAATGAACCGTAAATTGCTTATTAATAAACTAAATTATTTTTTGTAACTTACATGTAATATACGTTGACCTGTTTTGTGTGCTGTTAAACATTAGAATTGATGCAGACTCTGTTCATCTCTTCAGATGTCTCTAAGTCCCTTATTTATCAGGGGTCACCACAGTGCAATAAACCGCCAACTATTCCAGCATATCTTTTACAAAGCGCATGCCTTTATAGCCGCAACCCAGTACAGGGAAATCATCCTGCGAATTCACAATTAAAATAGCGAAAGTGAATGAAAACAAAAGCTATTCAATAAATAATGAATTCAAGACTCACTCTCAAAACATAAACATAAATATATTTATACTAAACTATAACTTTAGATTTTAATTAAAATAGATTAAATAAATAAATAAATAAATAGCATGCAATACAAAAACATCCATGATAATCCAAACCTATCCAAAATTCTATCCTAAATTCTTTCTGTGAAACTGGAAAGAGAAACTTCGCTAAATGTTCTGGCTGCACTTTTATATAGAGTCATAGTAAATAGTAGGTTGTCAAGCTCCATTAATGATCATATATACGTCATGCCATATTATATATGTTCTGAGGCCATACAGCTGTGTTTAGGAAAGTCTTCCTTTTTAAATTTCATACATTCTAAGTCAGTGACGTCACTATTGGTTCTCATGTGTGTCGTGAACAATTGTGAAGCAAGTTTGAACATGTGCAAGCATGAGAACTAATACTCACATTTTCCTCTCTAGGCCATTTTTGTACAATGAGCTCAAAAATTCTTGTTTTCCCCTCATATAATAAAGTCATGAGTTATGACTACAACATACTGAACTGGATTGTATATCATATCTCATAAAAACTAAAGTTGTGTTTATCACCCAGCCCAAATATTTTTGTCCTGATATTTCAAATAACACGCTCAGGCTTCCTGCAGGCATGCCGGTATCAGGTTTCATGCTAAAGCAATTTACGGCTCAAATGTCATATTTCCCAGTCTACAGTGACACCGGATCAGTCCCAAATGAGAAACGATTTTCTAAGCCGAAAGTGAATCATCCACCTTAGGAGCTCTCAGATAACCTTGCTATGTTTCAATACATGTTGATCTGGGAGAGGGATTGTATAGATTAAATTGAGTCAGAAAACATTATATCAAACATTAAATGTTGTAAATGTGGTTATCAGGCACATTTTATATTGATCGAACAATAAATATGCACAATATGTGATTGTATACACTATTATTGAGCTTTTTTAGACATACATTTGACCATTTATAGTCATGTTAAAATAAAGCCCTATAAGAAACGGAAAATTCTGTCATCATTTAGTTAAATTCCACTTGATCCAAACAAGTTTTACTTTTTTCCTTTGTTGAACACTAAAGAAGATATTTGATATATGAGGAACGCTGGAAACCTGTAACCATTGACTTACATGGCATTTGTTTTTCCTAGTCAATGGTTACAGGTTTTCAGCTTTCATCATACAGTTGAAGTCAGAATTATTAGCCCCCTTAAAAATTGCTTTTCTTTATTTAAATATTTCCCAAATTATGTTCAACAGGGCAAGAAAATATTCACAGTATGTCAGATAATACTTTTTTCTTCTGGAGAAAGTCTTATTTGTTTTATTTCGGCTAGAATAAATGCAGTTTTTAATATTTTAAACATCATTTTAAGGACAATATTATTAGCCCCTTTAAACTATTTTTTTCGATAGTCTACAGAACGAACCGTCATTATACAATAACTTGCCTATAATTACCCAAACCTGCCTAGTTAACCTAATTAACCTAGTTAAGCCTTTAAATGTCACTTTAAGCTGTATAGAAGTGTCTTGAAAGATATCTAGTAAAATCTTATTTAATATCATCATGACAGAGATAAAATAAATCAGTTTTTAGAAATGAGTTATTAACACTATTATGTTTAGAAATTTGTTAAAAACAAATCTTCTCTCATTTAAACAGAAATTGGGCAAAGAAAATAAACAGGGGGCTAATAATTCAGGGGGGCAAATACTTCTAACTTCAACTGTATATTTAGTGTAAATATTGTGTGTGTATATGTTTCTTCTGTGATATGAGTATAATTTCACCAAATGATTTGACCAGAAATTTGGAAAGACTGCATTCATTTAGATAGATTGGGATGATCAAATCTTTTCTATGCAGTGTGTTTGCATAAATTATAATAAATTACAAGTGTGTAAACACAACAGAGCAAAGATAAAAGCGAAACAAACAGTGCTTGATGGTTTCTAACAATAGTCCAACAGCATTTAGGTACAGAAAGTAAACAATCAAAAGTCCAACAGCATTTAGGTACAGAAATTAAACAATCAAACGTGGAAATAAGCTAATCGCAAAACTCTGCGATATGGAATTTATATGTATTATTTAATTTCCCCAACCTAGAGCAAATGCATGACTGTCATCTGTTTGTGACAGACTTACTACCCAATTAAGTGAGCACACTTTCATTCTGTCCATTCTGAACTTTTGAATCTGCCTCTTATCAGTAATTTTAGTTTGCTGAATGTTCTTTATTTATATACAAGTTTAAGTTATGTATTGTATGATAACCTTGGATAAAAATATCACAGTATCATGGTATTGTAATTACTGCTCTAAAATACGTTTTTTTAAATGTCTGAGTGAAAAAAAGCTACTTCCCTGCCCTTTGAAAACAAAATATTTTATTTTATTTTAGTAAACATTCATATTTTTCAGAGCACAAACATGTCAGGCTAAATTGATTTCTTTACAAAATATAAAACACATTATTAAAAAAAAACTTACAGATACCTAGGAACGATATAAAAGAAAATTTTAGCGATTTTAAAACCTTGAATTTCCCCGGTAAACCTTGAAACCAGTTATCACCTCAAGCCTACTCCCTAATTTGAGTTGAACTTGTTTACAGAAAGGTAAGGTCATTTTATTTGAGTGTACTGCTTGCTTTAGAAAAAAAAATAGTTTAATTTGTGAATATTTAAAAACAAATTTGAATAATTGTTTAAGTCAATATCTTTTTAGTTCCCTTTTTAAACTAACACTCACTGCATTTTAGCAGGAATTACAGATAGACATATGTAGCAGGATACAGATTATTGAACTGAAACTTGATTACTAAATTAAATGCCAATTTAATCGAATATCTGAAAAATACATATAGATATTCATTATGTGACAATCTAGTAATACATAATCATATGACTAAATTAATATCATTTAAAATTTAGTTAGCCTAAAGCGTCAACTAAGATAAATAGTATAGATTAGGTAAACCTCTTAAAAAGCCACAAATACAGACTGCAACAACAAAACCACACTCACTTATGATCCATATCCAAATTAACGTAGCGCGTTTGTTAAAATACAGTCGAATAGTATTCAATATGTATAAACATTCGCCAATTAATGATGTGATTGACCAATCAGGATCGAGTAAAGACCTGCCTATTAAAACTGAATTTTCTGTCAAGTGAGGACAGAATACGCACATTATGTCAGCGCGCTTTTGTTGCAGAACTACAATGTAAAATTAAATCTAACTATAATAGTTGCATTCATTATTTACGCCTAACCCCCAAAACTTTCAAACGGACACTATTACAGATGACTTGTGTCAGTATAAAGCGCATTTGTAAATGAGTTTGATTGTAGCAGGTCTGCAGTGCTCATACAGTATCTGCAGCGCTATAGTACTGGATGTATGTGATGATGGCGTGTTATGCATATATAACACGCTACACAAATCACACGACTGTAGGTGAAGCGCATATTCCACCTCACAGTTTCTTAAAAAGACCAAATACATCAGTTGCTCAGAGAAGAAATGGCAAGCGTGCGCAGAAACAGCCTGGTAAAGGTGTATATTACGTGAGTGAGGCGAACAAATACCTTTTCACTGAGTCGCACGATCTGATTCATTTTGTCTTCATCTTGTAGGAGCTCCCGTAGTTCGCAGCTATTGAGGACCCTGTACCCATCTGGGTAAGAGTTCGCGTCGCTTTTCTGGGACATTCTTGTCCCCGTGAGGCGCACTAAACAACTCCGTTTGTCAGCCATTTAACTTCCATTTTGCTGTCGCTGCGCGCCGGCTGGAGGTGAGCAGGGGAGCGGCGCTGGGGGAGCTCTGCTCGGCGTGAAGGCGCACCGCGGACTGTTTGTGAAGACAATGCACGGAGAGACTCTGCTCTGCTGTACGGTTACGGATTCCTCCGGTTCCGCATTCCCCCGCCAGGAGGCGCCACGCCGCAGCACTTACAACGTGCCACACATAACATACTGTATACCACGTGCTTTCAATCTTGTAGATGCCACGGGCCCCCAAATGTGATCATCCATGCAAGAGAACGAGAGAGAGAGAGAGGGAGAGAGAGAGAGAGAGAGAGAGAGAGAGAGAGAGAGAGAGAGAGAAAGAGAGAGAGAATAGTGAAAATAGTTATCCTGGTAATGGAGATGGTGTTAATCTAGCTGTAGAAAACATAAATTACATATTTGTTTATTTGGCAATGATATCTAACATTAAAATGACTAAGAAAACGTTAAAACAAATACTAGAGAATGAAAAATGGTATGACTTTGGTTGTAAAACTATAAGAAAAAACTTAAGACAACTAGCAAATCAAAAACACAGACAACCAGAGAATACAGATTTAAGTCTTCGGTACTGTGAGGAGCTTAAAAAATATAAAAACACAATCAGAAAAAAAGAAAGAATACACCCCAAAACAGCTCAAAACAAATCAAAGAATCTGTTGATTCAAACAATTTCTGGCCCAACTGGAACACCCTAAATAAAAAGAAACATGAAGAAACATCGCTTATATGTGATATAAATTAACCCATACAGAGCAAATATTTGGCAAATACCAAAATCTGTTAGACTGTCAATCACAGAAAAAGAGCTACTAGATAAAATACAAGTCCTACCAACAAAAAAGGCAAGTGGTCCAGACGGTATCCTTAATGAAATGATTAAAAACACAAATCACAAATTCCAATTGGAATGTCTGTTGGAAACATGTGCACAATTGTGCTTACAGGTGAGTGGGCTTGAAAACCACCTGTAGAAAAACTGTAGAAACACACTTCTCTCTTATGCACTTGACCAAGGGTGTAGAATTGGCATAGACAGAGGGGACGTTTCCCCACCAATATTCACCAATGACTGAAATATCCCTACCAATAATTGAATTGACTTCAAAATATAATAAAGCTTCGTCAACTTTTAGTAACCTACTTGTGCATAATTGGTTAAAGTTAAGTTTGCTATGAGTTCACTATTATACTATTAAACAAGGCAGAGCAATTAAACGAAATTCAGTTTCCATTTTGACGTTCATAATTATGAAAAACAATAATCAGGATAAAACAGTTAAATCGAAATTTCTAAATTTCTCCACATTCATACCTCCTTAAAGCCAGATTGCAGTAAAATCATGTAAATTGACATTTGCAGCATGGACTGTGATTCATTCATTGTTATTTGTAATATTAAGTGTTTATTTTATATTCTTAGGAAATTTATTCATGTTTTTTTAAAGCACAGAAACAATTTGCGCAATGTAGGAGCTCTAGAGTTGTGTGTCCCCACCAATGCCAAGAGCGAATCTACACCCTTGCACCTGACACTTCATTTAAACTCCATTTTACTCAATAAGGAAAATGATGTTTAGCCTACTATTGATGTACCACAATCATGTTGCACTCCTTGCTTCAACCTTAACTCTTGCACAATATTCACCTTTAATACCTCTCTTGCACAATATCCTGCACAACATTGATCAGTCTCTTGTAAAAGTACTTGTAGCCTGTCTTATTTAGTATCTTATAGTAGCCTATGTGCATACACTGTGAAGAATTCCTGGTTGCCTTCATTTTTAACCTGAATCAAATTAACCTTTGAGTCCATTGAACTTATATTATGTTAAACTGACTTAAAACTGACTTATAAAATTAAGTTAGAACATGATTAACTTAGTTTAATAAGTTACAATCAACTAAAAACATATGTTGTCATGAAAAATTGATCCTATCATTTTTTACAGCGTAAGTTTTTGAAAATATCTCTCATGTCCAGTGTTGTTTGTATATTTATGATTAATTTATGTAGCACTGTTGTTCTGCGAAACACGACATTTTTTCTGTATGTCCACACATGTAGCAGAATGACAATAAAGCTTGACTTGACTTAAAAGATTTAACGTATACTAAAATTATGAATGATTCAAAAAGATACATTTTTAAACCCGTTTCTTCCTTAAAATACATCTATATGTTTGTTTTGTTCAAATATTGACTTTATACTATATTTATGAATGTGTTAAAATATTATGGTTTATGTTTATTTACTTTATGCAATTATTATATTTAAATCGGTGACACAGTGGCTCAGTGGTTAGCACTGTTGCCTCACAGCAAAAAGGTCACTGGTTTGAGTCCTGGCTGGGTCAGTTGAAATTTCTGTGTGGAGTTTGCATGTTCTCCTCGCGTTCGCATGGGTTTCCTCAGGGTGCTCTGGGGTCCCCCACAGTTCAAAGACAAGTGGTACAGGTGAATTGGATAAACTAAATTGGCTGTATAGTGTATGTGTGTGAATGTGAGAGTATTGCAGCTGTAAAGGCATCCACTGTGTAGAGCATATGCTGGATAGTTGGTGGTTCATTCCACTGTGGTGACCTCTGATGAATCAAGGGACTAGGGAAAATGAATGAATGAATATTTCAATTTGTGTTTTACTGTGCATTGGTATTTATTTATTTCAGATTTTAAGTACAGCTTATTTATTTGTTTGTTTCTATGATGTCTATTTATTAAACTTATTGAAACATTTGATTGTTTATTTGAATCTTTTTCATTAAGTACTTTCTTTATTAATTAATTAATTTATTGCTGCATAAGTTACAATACTTAGCTCCTGTCTTAATTATAATTAAATATCAAATAAATATTGTTTCTTGTGTATAAACCTGCAGTGTTCATTATTATCATCATCATCACCATAATATTTATTTATTTATGCATTTATTCAAGAAAAAAGGGAGAATATGACATAAATCAGATATAATCAGATATAATTCAGATTAGAAAATGTATTCTGCATATTAATTTATTCTGTTTCTTTAGCTTTGCATTGTTAAAATGGGCATTGTCTGTTGGTTTGTTTCAATGTGTTTTGTGATTAATAGTTAAAATGTTAATAAAAAGATGCACAGAAAATAAATAAATAATTACATTTTCTAATCTGAACCAATAAATCTGCCAAAAACAATATGATTTAATTATTAATTTCATTTAACAATTATTTAATTCATTATTATATCTTCTTGTCCTGTGTGTTGTTATAGTTGACTATAAATAAACTATTACAGTCTTTTTTCTTGTTTATTCATTTTCTTTTCGTCTTAGTACTTTTATTAAGCAGGGGTCGCCACAGCGTAATGAACCGACAACTTAGAATTTAAGCTCCATTGCATCTACATGAAAAATTAATTTTCATTAGATAAGTAGACTGCAGATAGGGGTTAGGGTTAGTGTAAGTTGACATGCTTGACATGTCTGTTGAAGGAACAGTATCAACAGATATTAAGCAGACAGTCTACTAATACTCAAATGAGAAGTAATTGGCATGTACTTGCAATTCAACTTTTAGTCAACAAAATGTGCAAAAGGGACCATCAAAATAAAGTGTTAGATACCAATATTATTAAAATGAGTAATAAACATATAAATCCATATAAATTTTTTTTTCTTTAACAATGAAAAACAAACAAATAAAAAGAGAGAAACAACTAAAAACAGGAGCTATAAAAATACATAAAGCAAAAATGGCTCATTAAAAAAATATTTGCAAACAAATAACGTTTTAGAGCCTTTTTTGATGTAATACAATTGGATAGACAGTCTGGAATCTGACATTTTTGACTTATGAATGAATTTTTGCAAGCAGCAAAACCAAGTTCACAGCATAAAACTGTTTTCTTTTAAGTTGTTCATACTCAATAAAGCCCAACACGGTGCTTTCAGTCTTATTAATGCCACAGACTCCCAAATGTGATCATCCAGTATGCAAGAGAGACCTGCTTTAAATGTAAAAGACATGTTTAAAAGGTTTAATAGATACTATAATTATGAATGTGTTAAAAATATTAGTTTCAAAACAGTTTGTTCCTTATTTTTACATTTTTGCATTTTTCACCAACATGGTACTTTTTTGCATGTTTATTTACACGTTTATTACATTATTTTATGTATTTTAATCTGTTTTACTGTATGTTTGTGTTTATTTATTGTAAATAGATTTTGTGTAATACAGTTTATTTAATAAAATCATTTCATTTGTATTTAGTCATGTAGCGATCCTATTGGAGGGTATCTCTGACGTGTTTACTTTGCGACAGTACAGAAATCATGGCGTCGCTTGCGGGAGATCGTTGGAGGGAAGCGCTGAAGAACCACGATATATTCAATAATTTACAAGAAAGGCTTCATTTAGAGCCTCAGGGGACAAGTAAAAGAATAGCTAAGAACCTGACGTTTTGTTTGAACGGTGATCTGTTCATTTGGGACAGCGTTGAGAGCGTGTTTTACACCACAAACCTGCGACAGCTGAACTCTGACGGCGAACCAGACACCTCCAGATATCAGGTCAGCGACTTTAAATGGCTTCTGCTTTAGTGTAGTTACATCGCCGGTTGTGTGTAAACGTTTACCGATCTCTCCGCAGACCCTGCTGTGCATCAACCCGCCGCTGTTCGAGGTGTGTCAGGTGCTCGTCAGCCCCTCGCAGTATCATGTGGCCCTCATCGGTCAGCGAGGAGCCACTGTCCTGGAGCTGCCACAGCGCTGGGGGAAGAAGTCCGAGTTTGAGGGCGGACGGATCCAGATCAACTGCAAGTGAGTGATTTTGACTATTTTATTGAGGTAAAGTTGGTTATATATTCGCACATTTTATAAAAGTATTCTTTGCAAATTCCAAATTGGGAAATCATATTAGCAGACAGCCAACGATTATCAACATACAACATTGTTCAGTCAATAAAAAAGTGCTAATGTTGTTTAAAATCATACTTGCATGTGATTTCAGATCGAAAAATTAAAAGTAAACAATATAGGAATTGTGTTTCTCAGAGATGGGTTGCGGCTGGAAGGGCATCCGCTGCGTAAAAAAACGTGCTGGATAAGTTGGTGGTTCATTCCGCTGTGGCGACCCCGGATTAATAAAGGGACTA